CACACACACACACACACACACACACACACACACACACACACACACACACACCATAACAAACTGAAGATGAAAGCTAAGTCTCCTCCTCCTCCAGATGTAGGACAGCAGCAGCAGCAGCTCATTTTTTCTGTCTCCATCTACAGTGCAATCTACATATACACACATATACTGGATAATACTACATTCTACACGCTGCGGTATCTCCTGTGACACACATGCACACAATCTTAGCTCCTATTATTGAGCTGCAGTTCTTTAAACGAGGTCACGCATCATCTTTAAATATCAAGCATCTGAAACCAGCATTTGAGTCCAATCAGGGAAGAAAAATACGAGTAGCTGTGAAATGGTACATATAAAAAAAAAAGACTCCATGATAGCAACAACAACAATATTGATAATAATAAACACATCTTACAGGCAAGACAAATGCAACCAGTCAAATGTGTCTGCAAAAATGCCCTCAGCACTAACAGACAATAAGGAATCACTAAGCAGCTGCAATAGAAATGCAAATTACACACAACGCCACCTACAGGCAAGACAGGTAACAGTAAAAATTTATAAATGAAAGGGCTCAAGAGCAACAATAATAAATGCAAGAAAACTAAGAAAAACGCACAAAAACATACATGTTTTATACACAAATGTCTGCAAAATGTATTTATTTTTATATATCTATGATTATTATATGTAATAAAAATCATAAACAGCTAGGATGTGCAGTAAACAGCAAAACAAAACTGTACATCATGCTACTTAGGTAAGTAACAATATTAAAGGTAACTAAAATGACAGCAAAAAAACTGAAAAATCAACAATAAAAAAAAGAAAATGTTAAAAATAAATGCCACCTACGGGTGAGAAATGTATTGTATTAGAAAACTGGGAGATCTATATAAAGCAAATGTGTTTAAGTCCTTTCAAGAATTCAAGGGGTTTAGCAGAAAGTGAATCATGGAGATATTTACAGCTGAGGAGCTGCATGAAAAGCACAGCAGTTATCGTAAGTAATAAAGAAAACGTATTATCATCCTTTTTAAATCTGTCTCAGGAAGCTCAATCAGCATCAGTTTTCTATAAATACATCCTTTGAATCACTGGTGGCAAAGACTAAGGAAGTGTGGTCTGACATGGAATATGAAACTGACAGAATATAAAGGCAGGTGCTCTTTTCCATTTTCTGCCTCCACTAAGTTTTTGGAACCACTGTCCAAACACTAGTACTTAAAAATTGTATTCATCTATTATCATTTAATTTATTATTTTTAAAATAATATTTTAAATATTTTTTTCTCCAATTACCCAGACTGTAAATATGTTCAATGTGTTTTAGATACTTTGATGGAAATGAAAAGATTTCTAAAAATTTGAGTTACAAAACTAAATAAATAAAACAATAAGTGACGATGCATTAGCAATGGTAAATATTCATATATAAAAATATCAACAATAAGAGTATATGAGAGTATATGAGGTTTATGTATATAATACCTTTTACTAGATTTACATATTGTTTATTAATACAATTCAGACTATTCTCTTGCATAATCTGTTAGTCTTGACTTTTGTTATTTTTTGTTAATCATTTTTAGAAGATAAAACATTTATTGACACATCTCTAAAGAGGAAACAATTATCAAACTAGTAGGAAACCTTTTGCTGAGATTAACTGTTAAATTTCCTAAGCATAAATTATTATGTATTTGTTTTTGTACAGGTTTTTAAACTTCCTACCTCCCGAGCACAGACGTTGTTTTACTTTTAATTAAAGGTTTATGCACATGTTTGGGTTAATTGTCAGTACTGACTGTGCAAAGTGTTTTATATTTTACGTTTTTAAACATCTTTTAATGTGCAAATGAGCTGGCACCGCTAAATGAACCAAAATGTTTTAATGGCATTTTTACTAATTATTTAACTTTTACGCACCAACAAATTTAATCACTGCTGTAATTCTCTGTACAATTGAGCAGATGTTTATTTATTCAGATAATTCACATGTTGGCTCTCTACTTTGATATTTAAAAACCTGAAAAACATGGATGTTCAGCCAAGCTCATGGATTTTTAAAATAAACCTCTTCCACTTACATTCATTTACAAAACCTCCCAAAGCTAACATCTAAGGTTTTACAGCCACAAGCTGAACTGTGTTTTCACTTGTATAATTAATATCCACTGAGAGCTGGAGCTCAATTTTTAATTATATTTATAACGCTCCTCACAACACATTCAAAGATTTCTCCAAACACTCAAACTTTCAGCAGACCTTGAACAGAAGTCAAATCTCCCAAAGAAACAAATACAAACAGCAGAACTATCAAAGGAAAACCGGAGCTGTGAAGACTTTGAACACAGCAGGGGTAAAACTTTCTTTGTCTGTATGATTATCTCAGCGCAGGAGGTGTCATCGAAGCCTCGTCTAATTTACTGGAAAAGGAGGATTTCAGCTCTTCCAGATAAACTGGCTTCCAGTTGAGGACAGGGCTCCGCATGTTCAAGTGTTTCTTCTTATTTCCATAATTAAGAAAAATCAAAGAGGCTGGGTGGACTCCAGAGCCAAACCCAGCTGTGTGAAGATAACACTCTGAGACCAGCCAGGTTTCCTCCATGTCTTCTGCTGCCAACAAACTGAACAAACTACTCCTGCAATTCAAGAAGAGTCAAACTTTCCTGGCTTTCAAGTGGAGGCCAAACAGTGGCTGCTGAATTTCTCTGAACTCCTTCCTCAAGATGTGGACGTCAGCGACTAAAGCAGCTTTTTGTCCTTTGTCACCAATTTAAAAGCTTCAAATATGTGAACCTCACAGTTTATTTCACCTGTTTATGAAGTGATGGAGCGCCACATAATTTAGAAACTGGACTTCATGTTGTGTTAAATATGACCTGAAATTACTGAATGAAACCATAAACTGATCAAAAAAGCATTTACAGGAAAAGG